GAGAGGGAGGGGAAGAAGGAGAGGGAGAGGGAGAGAGAGAGAAGAAACCCCTCAATGACTGGCCTTGTGACGGCAGCCATGGACTTGAGCGTGTCTGAGGCTGTGAGGATAGTGTGGGTCAGGGCACAGCTCAGATCTGTCATCTTGGGGGCTGCGAGGAGTTGTACTCGATGTGACAGAACCTAACAACAAACAACAAAACTCTGAGAGAATGTGACCTGGGGAGATCTTCCCGAACGCTGGGCCCCCAGACGCTGAAAGGAGAGAAGGACCTTCTTTCTCCCTAAACTGTGGCGGACTAGAAAGCATGCCTGGTAGAGCCAGCACCCTGAAGGTGAACTTCTGGCCTCTTAAACTTGAGAGAATAAATTTCTATCTGTTCAAGCCGCTCACTGGTGATATTGTCACAGCCGCATTAGCGAAGAGAGATACAGGTGTCAACCCAATCTCCTTAAGAAACCCTGTGTGATAGGATGTGCGACCAATGCCCCTTCTAAGGTTGAGGACCCTGATGCACAGAGAGGCAGAGTAATTTGAACAAAGTCACACAGCTGAGCACAGCTGCTGTCTTGCCTCCAGACACATGCCTTTGTCCCCCTGCTAAGCTCCCACTGGACATTCCCGGTCGGGCATTAGGCAGAACCACAATCCCCAGCACGTGTGCAGGGTGCGGCCTGAACAGATGCTGCGGCTCCCAACGCAAAGGTCAAGCAGAGCTGGCTTGTGTGAGGGACGTGCAGAGCCCTGTGTCCGGGGCTGAGTGTGTCTGTGGGCCCAGGGGACTGGTTATCACACACTGAGGCATGAAGATGGGATTCGCTCCAGACACCCCTGGGTCCTCTGCCTCTCTCCCCAGGTTCTGAGTTTGTCCTGAACCTTGATTCTGACCCACAGAGACCCTGTAAGTGTCCCAACAGAAACAGGCTGATTTTTCAGAAGTAGATCATCAGGTCTTTCTTCTGCGGTGCCACTGGGTGGACTGGAAGGTTCAACCTTTCAGTTAACAGCTCAGTGTGCTAACCCTTTATATCACTCAGAGACTTGTCTGCAGCCCCAGGAGGGAAAAACTAACTATGAACCCTGCAGGCCGTCTGTCCAATGTAGAATTCCTGTTGTGGAAATGCTTCTTCGATGCTCTGCTGACAAACCCTGAGGTGCTGCCCACCTGCAGCTGCCTGTCTGGCCCATCTCTTCGCCTTTTTGGGGCCAGAAACCACATCTCCAAGCCCCCAATGGTCTGGCGGAGCACTGGGCCCTGCGATGGGGCTGTTTACACCAGCAGGGAACAGTGACGCACCAACTCTGATGAGTAACTGGAAACAAATGCAGGCCTTGTAAACATGCCTTTTCTCCACTCCCAAATGACAAAACTCCAAGATTAAGCAGGCGGGAATGGCCCCTCTACCCTCTCTCAACTCACAAGGCGAGAAGTGACAGCTCTAATGCCCTTTAATAGCCTGTGGCCTTTTCCAAATGCTCTGGGGCAGGACGAAGGGCCTGAGGTTACACCCCACCCTTCTGGCACCACATGACCCCAGCCCATTAGCAGTACCCACAGTGAGGTCTGCAGGGGAACCAGTCGGAAGGGTTGGGT